AACCGGAAACGGTAAACGAAACCCAGAGCTGAACCCGACACACACTCGTTGGGACAAATAGCTTGGTAGGATTCAACACGCGGTAGTTCAATCAGAAACAAGGTCAGGCTCGACAAGAAACGTCGAGGAACGGACGGCAAAACGCTCCGCGGTAAGCGTCTTTGCAAAGAGAAATCGCGCAAACGTTGCCGACACATGAGACCACACCAAGGGTCAACGACGCCCGGAAGGACGTCCACGACTGACAGCGGGATCGAGACATCACCGCTACCGGGATCAAGACGAGTACGAGTTGATCAACGACAGCTACCAACGTCATCCCGAAGGGTCAACGCCATGGAGTGGAGCATCATCCTGTAAGTGGCGGTTACCAATTTATAAAGCCTATAAAGGTGATAAGGCCGAGACGTTGCGCGTAAGCGCTATAATCACGGAAAGAGGCGCCAGATGAATAGAGCGATTACAAAGTGAACTCGATCTGGCGCACCTCAACAGTGAGGAGAAAAGGGCCCTTGCAGGACTATTAGTCGGAACTATTCTCACCGATAGTTATCTCTAAATAGCTAGTCGCGGTAAAACCCTGACTTACTCCGCGCGAGTCAGCACATGCCGGGCGATACTAATCCGTGCCCCTTACGTAGGGGAGGCTCGTTGGAATCACTTCTGGATAGGGAAAACATTAACGCCGTAGCCGGATTAGAAGTTGCGGTCGGAGATATAAGCTTTAGAGCTAGGAGAGCACTACAAACTCTCTCGCCGTCAGGGCGCCTACCCGCGGGTTGACAGGCGGCTATCTCGGGTAGCCTAAATGCTCAGTTCGGGGTAGTTTCGCGAAGGGGATCGGCCTTTGACGAGTACGAACTCATAAACGCCCTACAAGACCAGATCAGCGCGCTCACCAGACGCCTAGAACGGCTCGAAGCCGAACGGGACCTGAAGAACAGGCCGAGCTTAAGGTGGCGGCCGGAACCCGCAAGAGAAAGGCGAAGCATACCCTCGACCGTCGGACCACAGCGGTTAGATATAGGGTTAGCATTGAAAAACATCAAGACCTTCGATGAAAGCGACGCAAACGAATTAGATGGGTTCATAAGGTCATGCGAAACCGTATTTAGAAGGGTTGCCGAAGTGGACCACGAACTTTTGCTGGAATTGGTGCTCAGCGGTAAGTTAAGTGGGAAAGCCTCCAGGGAGCTGAAGCACAAAACTATCACCGCCTTAGACAAATTAAAATACGAACTAGAGGCTCTGCATGGGCAGCGTAAATCGCTGGCCCCCCTACAAATAGAGTTCAATTCCCTAAAGCAAAACCCTGGAGAAGACGTCACCACGTACGCAACGAGAGATGAAAAAATTAATGCGCCCGATTCTAGTCAAACGTCCTCTAGCCGCGAAAGTACCGGTCAGCGAACCTTAGGTACTTTAAGCCTCAACACGCTCCTTATCGGGAAACAGGCAGGAGAATCTCGCCCGGGAAAGAAAGAAATCCGAAGCGAACGATGCAACTATTTCAGGTAACCTTGCCTTTAAATACCGCATCCACAAGTGATTTCGACATCGCATCGCCTCACGCAGTCGGAGGAGTGTTGACACTGAAGGCCGACACCGGAGCGCAGTGCAGCATCATCAAAAAAAGCTGCCTGAAGCCGAATACCGTCATCCAAGATAGCGACATAGAATTGCAGGGTGTGGGAGGTGAGAAATTCACGCCCTTGTGCAAGGCAGAAGTTGTCCTCGAAACCCCAGCCGTCGACGTGAAACACTGGTTTTACGTGGTACCAGACGAGGTACCATTGACCGTAAACGGACTGCTGGGGATGGAATTCATCAAGGGACAGCCTAGACGACATAGTGGTGTACGGAAACAACCTAAAAGAGCACAACGCTCGCCTGAGAGAGGTGTTCCAGCGCCTAAAGGAAGCCAAACTGGTCATACAACCAGATAAGTGCCAGTTCCTACGAAGGGAAACGCACTACCTAGGCCATATTATCTCGGCAGAGATGCCCTTTGGCCTAAAAAATGCTCCCCCTACCTTCCAACGGTTAATGAACTCCGTACTAGCAGGACTCCAAGGAATAAAATGCTACGTCTGCCTAGACGACATAGTGGTGTACGGAAACAACCTAAAAGAGCACAACGCTCGCCTGAGAGAGGTGTTCCAGCGCCTAAAGGAAGCCAAACTGGTCATACAACCAGATAAGTGCCAGTTCCTACGAAGGGAAACGCACTACCTAGGCCATATTATCTCGGCAGAAGCTGTGCGAGCGGATCCAGAGAAACTCGCAGCGGGAAAAGAATTCCCCGTACCAAAAGATGTCAAGGGAGTTCAGTCCTTCTTGGGTTTGGCCGGATACTACAGGAAGTTCATCACGGATTTCTCGAAAATCGCCAAGCCTCTCACCGAACTTATCCGGAAGGATACGAAGTTCGAATGGACCGCAATCCGAGATGCCGCGTTCGAAGAATTGAAAAAGGCACTGACATCAGCACCGATCTTACAATATCCGGACTTTGAGAAGCCTTTTATCGTGACAACAGATGCGTCCGACAAGGCAATCGGCGCAATCTTGTCTCAGGGCAAGGTCGGAGAAGACCTGCCAATCTGCTACGCAAGCAGAACGCTGTCTAAAGCGGAGATCAACTAAACCACGACCGAAAAGGAGCTACTCGCCATCGTATGGGCGATAGCACAGTTCCGACCGTATATCTACGGCACCCGGTTCAAGGTCGTGACGGACCATCAGTCGCTGACTTGGCTGTTTGGAGTAAAGGACCCGGGCTCCTGACTCATGAGATGAAGAATTAAACTATCGAAACATGAGTTCGACGTGGAGTACAAGGCCGGGAAAAGAAACACTAACGCGGACGCGTTATGTCGTATTTACGCTACGACAAGGGCTCAGGAGAAGGCGAGGGAAACCTCCGAGCCGAACGGCAGCCTAGGGCCAGAAGAAAGCGCGAAGGACTCTGAACGTCCCTGCACAAAGCTGTGTGGTTGGGGCAGAGATAGCGCAGAAATCCGTATGAAAAGAAGCTCGGCAGAGCAGAGCGAATGCTCATCGTCCTGTAAAGAAGAGGACAACAGTTCGACAGAATATCTTAAGAACTACACAGACGAGGATCAAGGAAATTGGGATGAATGGCTACGATACGCAATGTTCACTTATAATACTACGCTTCATACGGCGACCGGATTGTCACCGTATACGCTAGTGTTCAGTCGGGAAGCAGTGCTCCCGCAGCAGTGAAACAGGAGCCGCGAAACTCCTACTCGTTAGATTACTACGCACAGGAACTAAGGGAAAGGCTACGCGCCGCATGGACGGTAGCCGGGGCTAACGTACGTTACGCCAAAGAAAGGTCTAAACTGACCTACCACGCGAACGCGAAAATACAGGAATACCGCATTGGAGATAGGGTCCTACTCCACAACGAAGCCGTATGGCGCGGGCGTTCAGCTAAATTGACCCCGAAGTGGATAGGCCCATACGAAGTAATCGCGAGAAATTCGGCGGTTAACTACACTATAAAGATGGGTCGGAAGACCATCCTGGTTCACGCATACCGCCTAAAAAACTTCAATGAGTACTAAGAAGAAAGCGGGGTGGCCACAGACGGAGAACGAATGGAAATCCAAGAACACGGCACGTGACAGCAATCACACGCTATTTATTAAAACGTGGAATTACATCCCTCGTCCACATGTCGGGCACTCGTCCCGAAACAGCCTCCGTAGGCCCAGGAAGTCCGGGGGGTCCTCGTCCCCAACAAAGTCGCCGAGGCTCCACAGAGCCTCGACCGGCCGCCGACACAGGTATCTTCTCCGCCAGACCTTCCTGAGAGTTCTCGTCGCGAACCTCTCTATCAGGGAACGATGGTCTCTCCTTGTCGGGATCACCAATTGGTCCTAAGGAAGCAATAGGCAAATCGTCAAGAGAGGATGCAGCGAGTTGGCCGCACCCACGCAGAAAGGGAAAGGTCGCTGATACATACCACCTGACGTAGTATTGCGGGCTCAGCGGCGACTCCCTCACGAAGAAAGTGAAGAAAACGGAATGAGCCCCCTAGAGTTAGCCACGACCGAAACCAGGGAAGAAGGGGAATTAAAGAAAGAGGGAAATCGCACTGAATAGGCAATTCCATGATTCGGCCAGTTTCAAGTAACACGCTATTCCTCTTGCAGAACTGTCCTGCTGACGGTAAGCCACGTAAACACCAGAGAAACGGAAAAGGGGTTTACGGTAACCACGTTCGCCAGCAATCCGGGAATATTTTATGAAGAAATCGGAACCCTATCGGAAGCCAAGGCCACATGGAGACTAGCCGTTATCATGGATCTCGCGGCCTTATTGAAACGTGAAGCCGACGTCAGCGCGAATTTGCGGCTGCTATTAGACATCTGCGAGAAACAAGGAAGAGATGACCTTCTCTGTCCAGCCATTGCTGATTCCGTAGCCAGGATGGTGCGGAAAATAGAAGACGGAATGGGAACGGTTCACGACCTCGTGAAACCAGATTCAGCGCGTAGGCGCAGGGGATTGATCGACGGGTTAGGATCAATTATAGAGTCCATCACCGGAAATATGGACGCCGCGGACGCGGAAAGGATCAACCGAGAAATCGCCGCCATACGCTCCAACCAGCGAACGCTGAAGGAGAGCATGAAGGACCAATTACAGGTGGGCGAGTCCACATTACACCTCTTCAATGACACCTTCACTAACGTGCAGAGCAACGAACTGGCTCTCCAAGAACTCATTGCCCATGTAAACCTTACACTGACGGCAGATCTGAGTATAGTGATCAAAGAACAAAGGCTAGATGAGGGCTTCACCGCCCTAAGCGTGATAGTAGAGGCACTACAGAATGACGTGAAAGAATTGGTTTGGCTATTAGTTGAGATTGCGAGCGGTAAGGTGAGTGCGGCGGTCCTACCACCGAGAAAACTCGCGGAGTACCTCACTGATGCACTACCTCACTTACCGACAGGAACCGGATTCCCGGTACCAGTTGAACGCAACGAAGCATCTACGCTAATGAGACTAGCCGATACGAAGGCCTTCAGTCAAGGGAACGCCATCGTCGTCATACTCGACTTTCCGTTGATAAGCCAGAAGAGGTAATGCATAAGCAAGGTATACCCGATACCCGTGAGGTCAGAGAACGGGGCTTACTACTACCCCGACACCTCGGAAGACCTCGTGATTGTGGACCAGGAAAATCGAAACTTCCTAAGAATGACCAGCCTGGAATTGAAGGATTGTAAACATTTCGCGAGCAGATATATATGCAATCCCCTGCATCTGTCAATTTCTCTGAAGAGCTCAGCGCCGTGCGAAGTGCTGACGTTCGCGAATATGGACACGGGCAACGGCCTTCACTGTCCAAAGCAGGTTATCGCGTTCGATCACGTCCTTGTGATTACTATGCGCCAGCCGGGCAAATGGTTATTTGTAGCGCCCACCGACGAATCTATAAGCATTACCTGCGACGGAAACCCCGTGTCGCACGAAACCTTAAGATACGTAGGTATATTGGCTTTGGTAGGCGTATGTACGGTAACCGCCTAGAGTTTCAGCTTGAGAATCATCCGACGCATCACCCAGGTCGCTAACGAGAACTACTTGCCCCCCTTCAATCTCAAACTATCGGAGATGGACCAAGTTAGCCCCCCGCGAGTGACCAGTGATATCGGAACGGTGAAGCTTGTTAAAGTGCTACGAAATCCCGAGGAGTTAGCGCGCCTCGGGACGCGAGTGTCTAGCATTAAGGCAAGCCTGGACCAGGACGACCAACACCTAGAACAATTCTATCACAATCTAGGATGCTACTCATTGTGTACAATAGCGCCAATAGGATTGGTTTGTTTTGTCGTGTACAAGTGCTACAAACGTAAGCATAATTCAACACCGACGACGCCGGCTCTCACGCCGAACTCGGTGTCGCCCGCGGTAAATATCCAGTTAGAACCGCTAGTTTCAAGGCCAAATAGCCTCAGAGCGGCATTAGAAAGAGCACGCGAAAGGCGTTTTCGCTGGGCCGACTAGAACCCGCAAGACAGAACCAATGCTACGGGCAGACACCCCGGTTAGATTAAGGGAATTGTACCCAAAATAATCACGGAAGCTGTGCTCCACTAGGCTAATGACCAGAATCGAGTCTTCACTCGAGGTCACCACAGGCGAACGCCGGGTAGAAATTGCGCGATTTTCTTTAAGGGGGGAGGGATGTTGTGCTGGGAGTCTCCTGACCCCATTGAGAAATGCCAGGCCAAGTAGTTCACGCGTGTAGCAATGCGCTAAGTCAGAACTAAAGGCGGCCTGGCAACCAATATGTGGAAATCGAAAATCGCACAATCATCACTTTTCGGAAGTCCAGCTTATGGCTGCACATCCGAAAATCGACAGTCCGCAATTAAAATCCGAACGGATAAGGTGGTCTCGTGGAGTAGACTCGGTACAGGAAATAGGAAGACCGAACGGTGCCTATATTTTCCAAGTCGACGTACGTCGACCTACTGTACAACACTCTTGATTGTTTCAATAAACCTTCTCTGTTTTGTTGTATTCACGCGAGTTCCAACTGCTTAACCGGCAACGATCCCAAAAATACCTTGGCCCTAACCTCACGAACGAACTCCTTCGTCACCGAGACGTTACGGCACAACAGCACTCTTCCTTCCAAATAACACTTCATAATGTATAATTCACTTCACTCCTCTTATTTCTCTGCGCCGATCTCTATTAATATTCATTGGCTCATTATAATCTATATTTGAAATCACAGCTAGTACGCATGTGCTATCGCATTTACGGCATATCGGAGAAGAGAGAGAGAGAGAGAGCGACAGAGAGACAGACAGAGAGAGAGAGAGGCAGAGAGAGACAGAGAGAGACAGAGAAAGAGACAGAGAGAGAGACAGAGAGAGACAGAGAGAGAGAGACAGAGAGAGAGACCAAATTTTATTATACTAGGCCTGAGGCCCTGTAAGTATAAATGTAAGAAGTATTACAATATATTCATACATTACATAATAATGATTCTGAGATCAAAATTAAATCATAGTGACTATTACCGAAGTAGTTAAGGAATTCGTCAAAAAGAGCCGCAATAGACTGAGCATTGACATGACAGATATTTAGAGAGTAGGCAGGATGAATAAGCTGAGACGATGTTGGCGGTGGAGTTTCAGAACTTCACAGCAAACGCTCGATGTCCTCCAGGTTTTTGATCTCTATAATTGTCGAGTTATTGTCTTTTTTACCTTTAACCGTACCATTACGGACCCAGAAACCCTGGTAATTCTTAGTTCTTGCAGCATCCCGAGTAGCACGGAGAAGTTTATATAGATCAGACGGTAAATACTCATTAATATAGATACGAGAGTCAGAAAAAGAAGCATTGACTTCTTTGGCGGTGAGAGTACTTTTAAGGCGTTTTGAAGTCAAGACTGCATTACGTAATTCTAAAGAAGAGAGACCGATGAATAACATCCTCGGTTTGTCGGTAGTTGTTGTTGTGGTTGTGCTACGCACACGTGAGAGTTCAGTGATCTGTGTACTATCGACGGTGACATTTAGAGTCCCAAATAACAACAACACAGTGTCGTGATCGCTAAGATAACTCGTTTCAGGCAAACCAGAAATGATAAGATTGCTGCAATATTTCTCATATTCGATAGTACGGATACGCGCAGTAAGAGGCAGAACGACATTCGAGATATCCGAGGCAGTGCAGGGATGCTTAGAGAACCGGGTTGCCAAAGAATGCATTCTATCAGTAATTTCTTTATCGTGATCAGAGCAACGAGTTTCAAATGCTTCCAAGCGATCCACTAGCACCCTGTGTTCGCGAGTTAAATTTTCAGTGGTCTCTTCAACTGCAGCATTGTTATCCGTTAAGGAGTTTAGCTTGTTGAGACACCCACGAATGTCAACCTTAAGTTCATCTAGATCACCTAGTTTGTTCTTTATGTGCGAAACATCCCGCATAGCAACGTCCATGCCGTCAATTTTCGAGCTTAAATTAGACACAAGAGTACTAAGTGAAGCAAGTTGCGCACAAATATTCGTAGTACCAGCGGATGACGTAGCAGTTGTGGCACTCGACGTCTAATAAGCAAAGCCAGCATTTTTTGCGCACGCGAAACAGTTTATAACTATCAAATCCGCAAGAATATCAACACGTAGCTGTTTCAACAGGCACGCAGGACCACCCATGCGTAGCAATAGCACATAATCTACATAATTCCTCAGTTGCAACAAATCTATAGCAGAGCCCACAGTTGACGGGTGGCATCTTGAACACGGATACACAGCTACACTAACGTAAGAGATTGGTATCCTATGATATTGCGGTATAGAAGTGAGCACACCTGAGCGAACAGGCAAGCGGAGCGCAAGTAGATGAAGGGGATAACCAAACGTTATTGTCACTTGAAGATCACTGAGGTTGGAGATACAGCTTAAGGCTGTAGTAATAATGACAACAGGAACAAACATACAGCGTTCGTCCGGTAGAGTGTAGAAGTTAGTACAGGTGACGATATTCACAAGTATTCACCAATCACTGTAGTCTAA